AAGCTCACCCTGACATTACACTCATCGAGACCTTTCATTAGAGTACCCACATCAATTTTTCATATATTTTATATATTGAAAGTGGGTTTCGTAGACCATCAATCACGCAAAAACTACTGAACGTATTGACATGGGACTAGGATCATTCGACGCGGAATGAATTGTAGATGGTTATAGGCTACTTATTTTTCGAATTCCATCAATCCTTCACCATTTTATTTCTATTTAACTTTGATAAACATTTTTTCCCGCTGATAAAAACAAAAGACGAGCATTTTTCTTTAATTCATTTGTTTTTTTATCGGCATGAAGGGTATTACGATTTTTTTTTTTGAGAATTTAGTTCCATCTACCATCGCGTGGGCGGATGCGTGGGTGGTTGCGTGGGCAGATGCATGGGCGGATGCGTGGGTGGAAAATTCCACTAATTATCTCATCTAGGCATGAAGGATATTACGTTTTTTTTTTCTTTCTTGAGAATTTAGTTCCATCTACCAACGCGTGGGCGGATGCGTGGGTGAACTATATATAAGCGAAATAGGGTTTCTTTGACTAAAGTTGACGTCAAAACTACTGAAGCTATCGGGATGGAACTGCTACCATTCGACGCAGAATTTTTCGTAAGTGGTTATGGGCTACTTATTTTTTGGATTTAATCAACCATTTCTCATATTTTTACGATTTACTTTTACATACATTTTTCCCGCTAAGAAAAACAAAAGACTCTCATTTTTTATTCATTTGTTTTTAATACGATTTTCTTTTGTTTTCATTAGATAACCTTGATATTTGATTGATTCAACGTCATTTAAAAAAAGTTTAAGAAAAAGAAGCTAATTATTTTTGGTGAACTAAGTGTCGAAAATTTATGTTTATATGCTGATCGTATGTTTGGTTATGATAATTATCTGAAAATTAATTGATTCCATGAAATGAAATAGTTAGATATCTATGAAATCTACTGAAAATGTTGTTGTTTATAAACTAGAACTTTTTGAAACATGAAACTTCGACCATATCTATTGAGATTTAATAACATTTACTAAAAATTTCCTTACAGCAAACGTCTCTTTAGCAGCGGGAAAAAAGTAATTGATAGGTTTCCAAAACTTAACATTACATCTAGTAATTCGGTCAACAGATTAAGAAATTTATATATATGTTATTTTGGCTGATTACATAACTTATAAATTGTTCTTATTGCGGGATAGTGGGAATGTATCTGATTAAAATGAATGCATTTTCCAAACACTGGGTATGTAAAAAAAGACCATTCGGCAGCCGAAATGGAAGTAGGTTTCATCATAAATAGAAAAAAATATAACGAGAATTGTATACAAAACTAGAGCTTTTAACTTCATTGCAATTGACAAAAATATATACCGACGGAAAAATACTAAAACCAGTGCAATAGCAAATTTCATAATAGGCATAGCGGAATAGGACATAATTTTGAGACTACATATATGATATGGTACTCAAATTGAAGCTTATTTAAAGAGCTCTCAGATGCAATTTACAGAGTTTCAATAAGTTATACCATTTAAAAGTTATACGAGTAAGAAAGTGAAAAAATATGAATTTTTATGATTTTCAAAATTCTGAAATCCTGGCATTTCTAAAAAATTTTTCGACTACACATATGATATGGTACTCAAATTGAAGCTGATTTAAAGAGCTTTCAGATGCATTTTACAGAATTTAAATAAGTTATCCCATTCAAGAGTTATTCGAGTAAGAAAGTAAAGAAATATGAATTTTTATGATTTTCAAAATTTTGAAATCCTGGTATTTCTAAATTACCTGACCGATTAAGCTCATCTTCGAACTTGACTTTGGTATTTATATGTAAAATAAGTATGTTGAGTTTGGTAGAGATCCGCTGTAAATTGGCGACACTATTGTCGTGACAAGCCGTGTAATATCCGATATATATAAACATAGATATACAATCATGGTCATTAATTTAAGTATGTTTTTAAGTGTACTGGACAATAGCCGTTTGTAAACTAGAACGTTTATTAACTCTAAATTTGGAAATCAACTGATAATGTCATTTGTAAAATTGGTCGCAAATAAAAAATGATATTAGTGAAATTAGCGAAATGGAAATTTCACTAAATATAAATCCAGTCATTTATAAAATAGCGAAAAACAAAAATTTGTGGCTATGTGAATTTAGCCAATTCTTACTG